TACCTGCCTGAATGTTAACGGGGAAATGTTTGAAGTTTCCTCCTGACAGTCCACCATGGTGACAGCCAACCACTCGAATATAAATACAAATGTAGTGAGGTATTGGTGAGTACATTTCACAATACTAGACGTAATCTTACATCATACATACATGTATTATAATTCTAGAAATGGACACCCCATGGTTACAGACTTGTGGTACAGGTGGTGTAGGATGCATGTTCAAGGTCACACATGCACAGGACGATTTGAATGTGTTGAAATCAAGGAAATGTTTGTTCACACTGAAGTGCATGTTTTGTTTTTGATTTGTGCGGTTTGTGTGTGTGTGGGTGGGTGTTTGTGTTTGAAATTATTAGCCTTTGGTAGCTGAACCATAGAGCTAGGAACACGTTCATGACTGAACCAACGTCTTTTCATTTTTATCGAAGCTCAAAGCACTTTAGCATACAAAATATCCTCTAGTCATCGGAGTAACCTAACATGAGTTAGGTCACTGAGTTTTGTTATGTTCGAAGAAAAAGAAGATTAGTGATGCCTCAATGTTTTGTTGAGAGATAGGATGATAAGATACATTGTTTTCTCAGCATTTTGATTACAGCTAACAGGTATTTTGTCAATGGGATAGATCATTTGATAAATCATTTACAGTTATATTTACTTGTACTTGTAAAGCAGTTAATATGTTTTATGCGACTGAATTCTTTTCATTATAAATGTTCTTTTTCTCCTGTCCATCTCCTATCTGTTCATATGCAAGTGTGTCTGAGCATGGGCTAAGCCAGAAGGTAATTTACTACTAGTGCCAACTGAACAAATATTTACCTAACACTGAAGGGGAAAAATGCATGGCTTGATATGCATGTCATGGCTCATTGTATGTCCAAGTACCCTTCCCTGTAAATAACCAAATTGTGGGCGGACAAATATCGAAGGACAAAACAACAAGATCTGTTGCCAGGCTTTTTGTGTTATGCACTGTCTACTGGCTACAAAAGGAGGCAGACTCCATCCACAGACAGACAAGGGCTATGAAAATGGTCTGGGCTTGTAAGCTGTTTATCTGGTCCTGTGGGTTCTGTTCTCACATGAGAAGCCAGATGAATGCATATGTTCATAATCACGAAACCTTGGCTCAACAAAAGCCACTGCAATTCCTCATAATCATATCAAGTAAACTATTTTTGTGAACTGTAAGCCCGCATGTGGTGATTGCTTTAAATTAGATTGAATAAGGAAAATAAGTGGAGCGGGGTTTGAACGGGCTGTATTTACTGAAAATTGTCAAATTTCTGAACAAGTAATTTTATAGGGCGTCAGCATGATTGACATTATTTTATTGGATACGTGAACGTACATGTACATGTAGTTTGTTGAAGTGGTAGGCAAATCATAAAAGCTTTTCTACATGTAGTTAGGAAAATGGTTTGATTATAAAGTCAAACTCTGTATTAGTTTGCAAAATTGTGATGTGAAGAATTTCATTTGTACACTGAAGATGTCTGAACTACCAATGAGGAAGCATTAAAAATGCAAGCATTTACAGTATAAACCCTATAAATATAAAGAATAACACACCTTGAGACTGCAGCAATACAGAAGAAGTGCTGACCAAAGGAGGGGAGAGGCAGATGGAAGAAAATCTCAAGCTTACAAATCCATACATGATGCTTTCAGGGCATTACTTATGATCATAAATTTGTATATGGCAAGGTCAGTTTGAACTTTTTTCCAGCAGTTAATCATGGTTTAGACTGTGGAGCCATTAAATGGGAAGCTCCATGTTCAGATCAGTGTGTGCTCTTAATTGGACTCTGTCCTTGAGGAAGGAGATGGAATGATCATAGCGGTATTTGCCTACCGCTACCTGCCCTTGACTAGCTACCTGTCTCACTAGTTAGAAGTCAGTGAGTAAGCTGTTCATTAATCGGCTAGACAAGTGGAACTGACCCAGAGAGATCACATAGACAAGGAATTTGTTCTTGTTAATTTCACCTGATTTCCCAATCACTTCAAGTTCCTGTGGGTAGAGTAGTTGGAGAGGTTGTGGAAACTTGTTGCAGTGCTCGTTTTGGCATATTTTGTTGGGTCATTGTGTTAGCCAGCTGGTTTGTTAGTGCGATGACTTGTATTGTTGACTTGTAGATTTGTGAGGGTTCTCTAACAGAGCTTGGTTTTCACTTTATCAATCTGAATTGAGATCTTGGGATGCGTAATAACATGAATAAGATAAATAATTTTAAATTAAGTTCAATTGCATTGTGTTGTTTTTTTTCCTGGATGAATCCACATGATCTAGTGCAATGGTAAAGTGGTTTGTGGGAGAAAAGGGAATAACGGCCAGGACAGTTATGGTCATTACAGGGGCTAATGGTTACAGGTGACTTGCCTGTAACCTTACTAATACATGTAAGTGTGACATCATTTGTGACCCATCATGGCAAAATGAGCATTAAGTCGCACTCCACTTTTTCCTATTTTGACGGTTCAAAGGGAGGTCATTTGGGGGGGGGGTTTGTAATTTTGGGAAAGAGTAACCCTTGTTTTATGTAATTCCAACTTTTTAGCAGGATCAACTCGACAAGCCATGTTTCCTCCCAATTTTGACGATAGCATTATTTGTAGCCAGTCAGAAATGTTGAAACATTATCAGAAACAAAGACACAAAGCCACCGGAATATCTCACTGTCACCGTATTTTTTACCAGAAGTGTTATGCCATTTGAAAGCTCTTTTTCTGCTAAATTAAAAAAAAACCTATATCTCTCTTTTCAAAACTCTGACTTTCAGCCCATTTTGTGGTGACAGGTCACATTTACACGTTCAAATTTTTTTTTGTCTAAAGGAAAGCATTTGGACCGAGCACTTTTTTGTACATTTAATGTGTTGTCCTTCCCCAGTCTTGTTAGTTGACATAGTATGAACATTTGCTGGTACATATTGTACAATATTAAACATGCACGGAATTTTTTGGGTTTGTCAAATGCCTTACATGGATGTATTTGTTTACATTTGCCACGTTGGACATGCAAGGTTCAAATAAGAAAACAGGGTCAACAAACCTTCATGAAGCAAGCTTTTGAGAACTGAACTTTTTGCCAATATTTATTGAAACTTGATTTACGTGTAATTATTGTCATGACATGTAAAAAAGTCTTATTACCTGGTCAGAAAACTTTGTTTTCACACTGCCTCCAATTTGACTTTATGGTTGCCAGGCTGCAAAGAGTCATCTGTACTGCTGTAATTCTCGGTATATGTAGTGTGTGGGTGTAGCTATTCACTTGATGAGTGGGTAAATATGTCACTGTGCTAAAATGATTGCCTAAATTATTGATGGCATTCACAATCAGAGAAATCCACGTAACCCACATTCAGTATTCTGCCTACTCATTGCTGTGTACGATCAGATGCCTGTTCCAATACAGCCAGTTACATACGTGTGGATTAGAACATTCTAGTCACTACGTAGTCGGTGGAAAAATAAAAGTACGGGATACTGTTATCTTGTTTGAAGGTCGGAATATTTACAAACCTGAGATGTACCTATATGATACATGTACATGTAACTTTGCCTAGTCCAAAGACCCTTAACTGTGTAACGTTTATAAATATCAAGTCTGTGAAATTTATAGTTGTACTTCAATGAAATTGTAGACAAATTTGATACAGTGATGAAGGGACCACGCTATCAGTGTCACAGTTCACAACCTTGGGGTTGTACATGTACATGTACATGTATGTTGTGTAGAAATGTACACCCATACTCGTTACTGGGTAATAGGAATTACACATGTTGAAATACACGTTATGGGGACAAATTCTTGCCCCCCACAATCTGGTTCCGGCTTTCCTAACAAAGGAAATAAGCCTTTTATGAGTTAAATTTGAATAAAATCGATTTGATTGCACGTAAAGATAACAAGTTGAATTCCCCAGACTAAAGACACTGTTGCTTTACCTTGTGATTCGGGGCAAGCTCTTGCACAGTGACCACCATTTCTGGAATGGACTGGTTCCTTTGTGCCCTTCTTATCCATCGAAAACAGTGTATTGATGCAAACTACATGTAGGTATCTCACATGTAACTGGTGTTCCGTTAGTATAAGTTACCATTAGTATGGAGAATTCAAATTGTTCTTTTCACGTGATTATCAAAAAACTCAGTGTACCAGATTTTATTCAAATTGAACTTGCAAGGGGCTTGCTCCCTTAACTCAGGAAGGCCTAGCAGCACATTATGTGCATGCATATGTGTTACTGGCTTTCAATGTACTGGGCAATTGACTGCATCACTAATGGCCAACTAATCTCACCGTACGTACCGGTACTTGTAGGCCAAATGAGAAAATGTGTATACATATTGGTGGGCCTACACCACAGAATGTACATATGTATGTGAGCTCGCATATTCAAATGAGTTGTTTTCTGCATGTTGAGAAACTGTTAGTTCGTTATCCACAAATCCATAAATCAACAGCTTACACATAGTTGGTCAGTCCCCTTCCCCACCCCCTAAAAAAAAGAACCCAGAGACAACAGTGAAAACCAACAAATCTTTTAAAATATAATCAGAAAAATGAAAACTGGGCTCCCAAAGTGTCAAGTTGAATGGAACTGCAGAGAACTCTCTTTGCCCCGTGGTATAATAGTAGGGAATCAAACTTCCCTTCCAATCTATCCCAAACAAGACCACCCCCATAGCTAGCAATGGAACAGTCCCAGGTGTGACTCAAAACAAGTAGGGAGCTTTAATAAAGCTGGCTCAAGGTGTTTGTAGCAAGAGCTCACATGCCCGCCCTGCTGGAAACTCATGTCACATAATGCAAGCTATTGGTCAACAGGCAAGGTTAGATTATGTAATGGTCTTTGGTTGGCCTTGTTGCAGGACAACAGTAATTGTTTTGCGGCTGGCTGTAGACTGTAAATCCAGGAATAGAACTGGTTGCAGCTTGTTCATTGTGGCATGACTGGGTGTTAGAAATTCAAGGTAAGTCCTGTCTTCTTTGCACGTCCTGTGGATTTAAAGACTGAAGATTATGAAACTTTCTGTTGAAGTTTCTACAAAAGATGAAGGATTTATTGAATCCTGTGATAGAATTTTGTTCATTGTGCTCACGTTCTCTGGTATCGGATCTATGAATAGATGGCTTGAACAATTGCTCAAAAAGTCCATTCATCTTGAATGTCAAACATGCTTTATGCTTAGCATAGGGACTCCCGTTTTATACTGGTGCTTGATACATGTAGCAGAGAGGGATCCGGGACTAGAATGAAAAGAGTTGGAACATTATCAGCTCATGATCTTTCGTACAAATTTATCAAAGTTACATGAGTTTTTGCATATGACCAAGCATAGTTCTCTTAAATAATTGTTCAAATATATGCACAAATGCTTGGAAAATGCCAGATATCTGAGAGTACATATACAGTGTGTACATAATTTCAGCCTCTAATGCCAGTGTGAACAAAGTGAAATCAAGTAAAGGTTGTATCGTTGACTTGTCTGTTCCAGATAAAATCTAACATACTGTGAACGGTAGGAATACAGATTCTGTACAAGAGTGTACATGGCCGGTTTGTATCAATTTATTTCCTGGCCAAATAAGCAAATAGGCTAGCAAGTGAGTCAGTATTATTGTGCATTGGAAACGGATTGTTGGAAGCTTTTACTCCAGATTTATGGGCTCTGGTCTGTCTTTCTTTTCTTTTACACTCTGTGAAGGCGTATTCCAAAGAGTTCTTTTTCCTCCTTGAACCATGCATACAGTGTGTGTAAAAATGTCCACTGTCATCAGGATGCCAGACTGAGTAATTTATCAACACAAAGAGCACAGTTTGCTGTTGCCAGTGCAGACTTCAACAGAATTACTTCAGAAGTGGCCTTGAGAGTTATTTCTTGAGATCCGGCCACATTTACCGTTCAATTAAAATTAATGTCTGAGTGAAAAGAAGCCAGTTCCAAGTCCTGCAGTGTAAGGGTATAAGTATGCTTTTCTAATCGCTGGCCTAGGGAGTACGAGTAGACCCAGGAGTGTCATTGTCTTTTCTTTTCCTATTTCACTTCCCAATTGTATTCTTAGCTTGCGCTGAGTCACTTGACATCTTTAGGAGGCTTGTGAGAGATACAGTTGTGTCGGTTGCTATTGTTCTGATTGCCAATTGTCAGTGGCCTTGATTGCTATCTGTCATTTATCAAGAATACATTGTTCCTGCCTGGATGACAAGTGTTGCTGTGACAATATGCGCACCTCCTCCTATTGTTCTTTTCATTTGGTGTCTGTCTTTGTGCTTCATTGTATCGTCTTCACACTGTTCTTGGCAGATGCCAGAGGTAGGGCATTGCCGTAGGGTCTCTGCAGTTACATGGCTATAATGTCATTTCTGTGATTGAACGGTTGACTTAACCCTGTCGCATGGAATTGGTAGACTGGCACAGGTATGTACATGTTTATGTGTGCTGTACATGTACCGGTATATGTGCACTTGTTTTGTAGCTGGGAAGATTTGTTTGTCAAGGAAATTTGGACCAAGTATCGGGAACCGTAGTGTGCCCCCACAACGTGGGCTAATTTTTCTTTAACAGCCAGTGTGTAGTAGTAACTTGTGTACAATTCTGTTTGTACATGTTGCATTTCAGCAAGTGTTGTTGAAGTTCGCATGACATGGATCATTGACATCAGTTTCTTATCCTGATTTTTTGTATGTAAGCCAAGCTATGAACACCAACTTGAAGGGTGAAAAAGTGTTGAGAAATCCGTTCAGTGGAGCATGTATCTCCGTGGTGAAATTCTCTTGCATTCCTGCAGACGGGCTAGTTCTTTACCATTTTATGAGCTCCATGCAAAGACAGGTAGTGGCATATATCCACCAAGGCCCCTGAGACCGATAATTGGATCACTCTGCTCAGTAAATAAACAATGTTGTTTTCACTACCAACCAAAAATAACTGTCAGGAGTTTGCAACCCAACCATTAACCCAGTAATACCAAACCCAAAGACCCGTGGTCCCAGTGCTACAAACAGAATTCCCAGCCTGTCTCCATGAAGCAATGCTGCATGTTGTCCTCTTTTTACTCTCCTTGTTTTTCTTGTCTCAGAGCCAAACGCAGATCAATCAATATCTCTCAGCAGCATGCCCCTGGATTTCGATTGGCCGGGAGACCCATAGCCTGCGCATTACACGCACAAAACACCTGTAAAACTGTAAGCCTATTGAGGCTTGAACAAAAGAGAAACATGCCTAGACTCCTTCAGTGTTAAGTATGCCCCCCCCTGGAAAAAAAGATTGGGAGAAAGGAGAAAAGACACTTGAGTAGCAGATTAGGGTCTGGATTTTAACAACTGAAGTAATGGAAAAACAACTGAGGCTAGATAGTGACCTGATCCATGCCAGCTGCTGTTTGGAAAACCAAGTCTTGCCTCATAGCTATGTGCATAATAATGCTTTTTGAAATTAAACAGGTAAAATTAATCGTAAGACCTTCCTTTCAGGATTCATTGATAGAGTAATAGAATATTCAAAGCTGGTGATGCCAATTAAAAAAATCAAAGGATAGAGAGGTTCGTGTTTGTTTCATGTACAAACACTTAGTGATCCCCGCAGGCATTTTCTGCCTAATGTTCATGCTATAACAACTAGAAATGTCCTGAAACTGGACTTTTTTCAGTCAAAATACATTCTAGCGGTTGTTTACGCTTAACACAAAGCAAAATTGAAGCAGACTTGATGGCATCAGCAACTGCATATTGCTTGTGGTGGTTCACCTGCCCCTGATGAAATTTACCTGAAGTGGAAAGCTTGAACCATTTAGCAAGCAGCTACGGATGTAGATAACAGTTTTATCTTTCGTATTTCAAACAACTTGCATGATTTGTTATGTACCAATGCCTGTACTTTAGAAGTTTTCCCAGAAAAATTGAAGTTAGTGTTTGGGTAGCCCCAGTAGGGTCGCGGGTTTTTCCTCTCTACTTGTGAAATTGGTCATAATGGCACCCCCCCCCACGCGTTGGACTTCTCACAATAGAGATGGATATGAAGGGGACCTGCTTCACTTACACAAATGGTTAAACATTTTTGATCCCATAGATTTGGTAGTTATGTTACACATACTCAACCGTTGTTAAAGAGCACCTCTAAGGAAAACACGTTTTCTCTCATTTCATCTGTTGAAATAGATATGGAAGCATCCAAATCGAATGCAGTGTCATTTGTCTTCAGAACTCAACTATAACATACTAAAAAGGGCCTTTTTTCTGTTCATGCCAAGATTCGACTTCTGAATGTAGATTGCATCATTCTGAGAAAACAAGGCGAATCTTTGCCCTGTGTTCATAGTGGATAAACCCTTGTGCATACCAAACAGTAGCTACAAACAATGGCTACATGCATTGTTTGGCATGCACAAGGGTTTATCCACTCCTAACACAGGGTGAGGGTTCGCCTTGTTTTCTCAGTTTTCTCCGAACGACACAGTCTACGTTCAGAATTCGCATCTTGGCATGAACAGAAAAAATTTCTTTAGCTTGTTGTAGTTGAGTCCTGAATACAAATGACACTGCATTCGATTTGGATGCTTCCATATTTACTTGAACAGATAAAATCAGAGAAAACATGTTTCCTTAGAGGTGCTCTTTAAATCCTCTTTGATCCATGAAGAAATAAGAAGAATGTGAACTTTCAGGTGGAAACTTCGGTTTTGTTGGCTCTGAATTGTGGCCTGACCTGTTTCCTCGTGTGAATGCAATGTTTGAATCACCTATGACTGAGTGACTTCAGGGGTAAACTATGCCAGCTTAACTGTTGAAACTGGTGAAAAGCTTGAATTCTTTCTGTTATGAATAGGGGTTTGCCTGGCAAAGACCGGAAATATTTACCCACCAGACATTCCAAAACGGGACAATTCAAACGGGCTCGTGATCATCATAACACATAATAAGATTAAGACCTCTGTGGAAGTGTCTAGGTTTTTATAGCTTGTGATCTGTGGTTTTTGCAGGGGGGTTCCTTCAGGAAGGTGTTCCGGAGAATTTCCGTCACAGGTAGTGGTTCTCAGATTAATGGAAAATAAATCCAGTTGTGCATGTATCTTGACAATTCAAAGGAAGTGCACTCTCAAATTTGAGGATGGATTAATGAGAAGTCGGAGGTAGTTTTCTTTACAGTCCTCTTCCTCAAGGGCACTATTTGATTAGATTATCCTCAGAGACCTTGGAGGTTTTGTTTTTTCAGGGAAGGCAGGGTTGCGTTTGTTCAGCAGCTGTGAACGAAGGAGTTACAAAAAAAAGCCTTACAACAATGGAGGAATTCCCAAAATGTTCTCAACTGAAAAGGGTCCGCACAGTTTGTTATCCATCCTTTAGTTTAGACTCAAATTATTTTTGTCAAACTTTCTTCTTTTTTCTACCTCATTTAAATAAATTATCCTTGTTGAATGAAATTGAACCGATTCATGTTGCTGGTAAGACGAAGCTGCTGGCTTAATAGTTCGGTGTGCATATATTTTACATCTGACATTTCATAGTCCGGACTGCTTTACGTATGCGTTGGTTTGGGTGGTTCAGCAGAAGAACCCATCTGTACTTTCCCACTCTGTATGCATCGGAGCACTTAATTTTCCTCTACAAATTGACCTATTGTTTGCATCCTCTTGCTTTCTCAACTAACAAACAAAGCAGCTGCTAAAAGCAAACGCTGGACTGGATTGATTTACCAGCTTGGGGGTAGGACGCTATGGACCTTTCAATTTCGAATTAGGGCCACCAACGTGTACATGCCAGCTTACATGTAATAAAGACAAGATGTGCGCTGGCAAAGAAATGAAAAGGGGCCTGGTTTGGAGATAATCCTCTTAGGAATTCCTGACTGCCTCATCCTTCAAGTTTGAAAACAAGCCGGACGATCCCTTAAAGACTTCAAAGACACTGGAAGAAAGGACTGCCAGGATGGAATCCCAGCATTGCCAGTGTTCGAAAGTACATAATTGTAGTCTGATAACCGCATATCCGTAGAGTTGATCCGCTTTTTGCCGACGACTAATCGAATGAATTATAGTGATTAGCGCAGTCGCTGCTTGATGAACAGTGCTCTCTCAGCAGCCAGAAGTGAGGACCAACAGACAACAGGACATTGCCAAGAACTGAGTCATGTGCCTGAATTGTTTGTCGTCTCTCCCCCCCCCCACGAAGTTCGGGATTGGCTGACAGGAGTAGGTTTTCTGATATAAAAACTCGCGGGTTTGATTGTAAAGCACCAAAGTGAACTGTAGGTATGCCAGGAGTGAATGTCACTACACACATTGGTTTGGTAGATTGCCAAGGTACATGTACCAACGTGTAGAGTAAAATAGCATGTACATTGTACATGAAAGAGTTCTGATTGTGTGCTTTGCATGTTGTTCACAATTCAATCTAACCAAAGCAGATGCCGTTTCCACGCAAAAAGTTCACAGTCTTCCCACCTTGTGGCATTTGTACAGTCAAGGGAAAATCTTCGTGACATTTATTTTTCTCTGACATGGTTGTGTGTTTCAGGGTCGCTTGCTACCAGTGCGTATGTGTTTCCATGGAAATGTCAGTCCAAGATTCATATGCGTGAATATGTCCACCCGTGTTTGTGATTGGGGCAAATTGTCACAACGGGAGAAGTGAGTGATAGCTGAAATAATTGGTTTGTCATAAATTCGGGCTGTTATTTTTTTCCCCATTTGCAGGTTTGGTCAGCTTGCATTCTGAGCTTTTGTGTTTACAAAGTGATCACCATGGGAAACCAACAAGCATGCATCCGTCCTAAAGATGCCAAGCTGACACAGAATATGTTCAAGGTAGGAACTGTGATTTTTGACAATTACCAGTTCAATTTGTTCTCACCCTCAATCAACTGTTGTCACTTCTGTGTCCATGTCGGTATGAATTTAAACCAATTGCTGGGAAATAACTCCTCCCTGCACAGTCTATTGAGTCCCATTCCTGTCAGCAAACCTTTGTCATTGGATTTGGATTTATATCTAGCAATTCACCCAGAAAACACCTGGAATCCTCAGACTTTGTTGTTTGTCTGACTTTGTTATGCTTACAGACTGTGCATTTGCACATCCATTGAACATGGATCCTGCTTGACTGCTAGCAGCTTTCCTTGGCACTGATTTGGAATCCTGTTCATAAATGTATTTTTACTTAAATGGTCTGTGAAATGCCAAAGCTGGCTATGAAAGCAGGTTATTGGTAGTCCCTAAGTATTTCAGTTTTCCAAGTACTGTGCAAGGCCCGGACAGTTTCATTGTGTATACAGTTTCAAGTAACAACATTCCAAAAGAATAAGTTATCAAGGCATATGTTTGGGCCTTTAGCTTGTAAGAAGAATCTTTTTGTTGTTTGTTGTTAAGCCTGTTGGAAATAATGCCAGTTTACAAAGCATATGGGTGATTCCAGAAATTAGGGGTCC